ATGAGTGATACATGCTGCTTTCAGCAATAAACCCACAGTTCTTGAGACTGAAACCAAGACACAGACTGACATCTACTTCATGACATGCCATATTCACTGACTCGAAATCAGTAACTAGAGAATCTCAGAGCCTTTTTAGCGAATACTATGAAGATCTGGGAAACTAAGGGAAGGAAAATGGCAGAACCCTGCAAGGCAACATAGAAGTGTGGGAAGCACAGCTTCTTTCAAATTGATGGGTTACTAAAATTCTTCATGGGATATGAGAAGGAGTGGAGGACATGATCTTTCACTTCTCATTGTATTTGCCATCAATAAGTTTTTCTAATAATGAATGTCATTATTTTAAAGAATTGTAACACTTTGAAAACAATACTTGCTATACCCAGGCATCTATTATGGCTTGTCAGTGAGGATTGTGAAGCCACTGTTTCTGGTTATTCTGTTTCTGCAACAACATACTTTCAGTTACTGCTCCTGTTTTATTCCAAAGAAAATTGACTCTGCTGTGCCAATGTAGAGATCCACCTGCTCTCTAGTTATACCTAATGGCTCAGCTTATTTCTCACGTACACTTACAACAGCTTAAAAATAATACTAATATTTGCAAACTGTGCTTGTAGATATGTCATTTGATGTGACAGCTGAGAAATTTTAATTCATTATAAGCTTTTGAGTGCACTTATTTAAAGTTGCTCTGCTTCAGTTGAGCATTCTGGAATGTGGGAATCCTGATTAAGGATTAGCTAAATGAATTCAGGGACTCTCTGACACCACTAAGATATGCAGATCAGATGATCCCAGCTTCAACACCAAATCTATTGTGTTTGGCTGAACTCAAGTTGGAGGGTATCTGGAGATTTCCAATTGGCCTCAACTCACTGGTCCAATTAAAGAGGACAAGATCCAGAACTTCCTGCTAGGAATCAAGTTAGAATAGAAATTGTTTGAGCACAGGATTAGGCTGGTCCAATAGCTGTCATAATATTCTGTCTAAATTCAAACAGGATATAAAGTATCACAGGATTTATGTCACTCTGTCGTCCTCAGCAAGAGCTCAGTGAAGAAGATTGCCATTAAATCAGTGTTGTCTGAGTAAATAGCAAAAGAAAACCTCACAATGTGTGCATAGCCCACTACTTGAATATTTTCTTTGACATCAGGTAGAGCAGGGTGGAATCTGAAGTTTACGGTAATCCACCAGAAGGAGACCTTTTTAATAGCTCAGAGCATAGAGTGACAAGAGCTGAAAACGGCGTTAATCCCCACAATAATCTTTTTTAATTAATTAAAAGAAGAAATGTAAACTGTCTTCCCCTTGGAGTCCTCTGTGTTGCTCTTAAATAATGCTGCATTAGCCCATCCTCTCATTACCTCCTGTTGCTCTTTGTAAACAGCTTTTAATCTTCACACACCACCTGCTTAGACAAGACCTTCCTTTGGCCTCCCCTGTCCTTTTGCATTAACTCTTGGTTTTACAAAATCTTGATTTTAACATTTTTATGCTTGCTTTTGAATCATTAATTGTCTACCCTTCACTGTCTTTTACCTATATCTCTAATCTCCGCTAGTCCTACAACCTCTGGAGATTTTATTGCTCCAATTCTGCCTTCTTGTGCATTTCCAATTTTAAACCTCCTTTCTCACTAACACTTTCTTTTGAGACATACCAAACGTACCTCACCTGTTCTTCCTTATGTGGCTCAGAGTTAAAGTTTTCTTCAAGACACTTCCCTAAAGAGTTTTAGGGTTTCATATTAAATTTTATATTAAATTTCATTTAAATATATGATTTTGTTGTTGTAAAACACTTTGGGCCATCAAGATTTTGAAAGGCAGCTGTTATATAAATGCAATGTCGTTTTCTTTTATGTACAACTTTCTCATTCTGTTGTGCTCGAATAGCTTTGGGTCTAGTATCAGTAACGTACCATTCTCCTTATTGACATGGATAATAAGACTAGTAACTGTTAGGCGTCCTGCATGTTGACACAGGGTACAGATCTTGCGCTCAATCAATTAATTACATCTTATCTGGACTGACATAGCTATGGATGTAGCATTAGTTATGTACATGTCCTCCGTATTGACAGGAATGGGTATAAATATAATGGCGCACTGTCATAGATAATAGATCTAATATGACAGGTCTAGGTCATGGGATTATCACCAGCTGCAAGTTCCCCACAAAGTCACAAACCATCCTGACTTGGAATTACGTTGCTGATCTGTGACTGGGTTAAAATCTTGGAACTCTCTTCTTAACAGCACAATGAGTGTCCTTACACTCCAAAGATTGCAGTAGTTCAAGAAACTCACTCACCACCAACTTCTCCAGGGCAATAAATGCTGATCCAGCCATCTACACCCACATCCCATGTCCGAATGGAGGGACAGGTGAATATTTTCCTTATACTGATGCAGGGAGACAAACTCAAGTGATTCTTAGTGGACTGGATTTGTAATTGAAACTTGTTTTCTGTTACTTAGAAGAAATTATGCAGCACTAACAATAACTCAGGACCTGACTTCTCAACTGGTCACTTTAAGACACATTTCATGATCGAGGGAATCATCAAATGGGTAAGTGGCAGTCGCTGATGAGATCCATGGGTCTCCATGTGGAGGATATACCTGCATATTCCATAGAGGAAATAATTCCATTTGGACAATGGAAGCAAGATATGTTCATGTTTAACCATTGGTCATAGTTTGATGGTACTTTTACTAATTAGGACATAATCTAAAATTGATGCGAGTTGTATAAATTAGTTTAATTCAACACAACACAATCTGCACAACAAAATAGCAAGACTGTCTACTAACATTTATGGCATAAAACAGATTTGAAATGAAAGCATATCTGGAAGATGCTTTGCGAAACATCCAATGATAAGAATTTGAACTTTAGACTGAGGTTTGTACAATTCAAAAAGAATTCTTTGGCATTTAAGAGTGAGGCAGTGGATAGAAAAGGAGACAGCGATGCTCCTTCTGCAACCAGAAGCCTGCTATTCATTAAACAAGCAACTCTTAATTGGCTTCCATGTCTGCAACAATTAAATATTCCTGAAAATTAGCCAAGTTCCTTCACCCTCCATTCAAGAGGAGTACAGCAGAGTTGCTTGCAGGCCGTGTGAACTCCACGCCTCGTCTTGGCTGTTAATGTGTGAGACGCTCGCTCCATTCATAATAAACTGACAGCCTCTGTTTCTGGTGCCACAGACTGCAGTGGGGCAGGAGGTGGGGGTGGTGGTAGCTGGATTGTCCTTTCCAGAGTGGCAGGTTAGCGTCTTTTCCCTCCCCCCGCAAAGAGCCCTGTCACCCCCTTACTTCATCAGTTTTGGCCTGGGGCCACGAATCTCACATTAAAGCCCGGAACACTGAAGGATAGAGTGACACACAGAATCGAGCCTGAGCGGGTGCTCTTTATACACAAATGTACACAGTTCCCAGGGACAATAACTGGGCGACCACTCAAAAGCAGGCTAGATTACAGTGCGCATTTCTGTGGACAAAGACCTCTCTCTGGGTCGAGACTTTGGGGGCAGCATTGTGAGACAGGCTAATGAGATCTCACGCAGCAAATCCCTCAGTAACTGCACCACATTCCGATATTTCTTCTTTAACCCTTTACGCGCTGAGAAAGATATATGTTACAAACCACACAGTGCTCCCTTAGCAAACTTTAAAGTGCATCGTCAAAGCATCACTGTTCAGATTTTAGAGAATTGAAGGAGAATATTTAATAATATATTAAGAGAGCTTCTTCAATAATTCACCTGTTTAAGGCTGTAAATAACGGAGCTTGAAAATAACAGGAATAGCTGGCTCAGTACAGAGCAGGTATCTCAGATGGCAGACCCTAATAAAACTACACTTGTGTAGTCTCTCTTTGAGCCTTAGGTCTGTACTGGGATTCATTTATTGAAGAGGGTGGGAGATGATGGTGCTATACGTGGCTCACTGGGCATGTACGTGATATTGAGCAGGATTCCTACTCCTGAATGCCAGCCAGAAATGAAATGGGTTGTCATCAGGTGAGTTAACAAGGCGTAGAGCTGGATGAACACAGCAGGCCAAGCAACATCAGAGGAGCAGGAAAACTGACGTTTCAGGCCTAGACCCTTCTTCATCTAGCTCTACACCTTGTTATCTCAGATTCTCCAGCATCTGCAGTTCCTACTATCCCTGTCATCAGGTGAGTGTTCAGTTACGATGCTTTCCATGGACTGATGTGTGCTGATTACACATGAAGAATGATCATTTGAGAAACATATTGAAAGGTGACGAGTGCCATGAAGCAAGCAGTCAACATGTTTATGAACAGAGGTGGGGAGGCCAGGCAATTGGTGGTAAGAGAGAGACAAGACAAAAATATTGTTGAGACTTTTTTCCTCTCTGGGTGGAGTCTCTCAAATGCTCACAGCCTTCAGACATGCTGAATTAATATGTTGTACTGTTATAATAAGCAAAGACCATTTGTTGAAATCTTATAGATGAGTTTCTTTCTCTTAGTCCTTGTTTGTGAGCACAAGTCACCTTGTGATATGACTTCACTGACAACAGCATTACCTCAGTCAAAAGATGACTGCACTGGAATTTTTGGACTAATTAATAACAATGGGCAGTGGGCTAAGCAAGTCAAAAAAGGTACTTAGGGTTATGTATTGACACGGTCCAACAACTGAGGAATTTTTGTCATGAAACTTCAAGGCAAGGAGCAGTTACAATGACTTGTTCACAAATGAAAAAGGGAACAAAGGTTCCAGCTAGAATCAGCAATGGACAACATCAGTGCAGAAGTCTGTCGAGAAGTGAAGTCCAGTTTACCTGCCATCATCCAGAACTAGTTTGTCAGACTTAACTAAGGAGTGATCCTTGCAAGTCTAACAGGCTTAAGTGTATTTGCTCATTGAGTTTTTGCGAGAGGTCTGACTGAAAACGAGTTGCTGTACATTGTCATCTTGTACTAAATTAATACCTTCTGTTATTCTTACCTGGTTGAATGGTCTTCTCTTCCAATTTTGATTCAATGGACCTCAACACAGTGAAGGCAATGAGGATGAACAAGCAGAGACACAGTTTATACAACGCGTGGCTCATTCCTCTTCCTTTGAGCAAAACTTAAAGAAATTTTAAAGTTTCCAATCTTTGTCCCTCAGCTGCTCAGAGCACTCATTGGTGATGTTGGGGGATGGAGGGCTCTCCAATTCTTCTTATCTCAGTTGTTCTTTTCTCTTATTGGCAGAGGCCTGTGCATCAGTTCTCCAATTGCTGGACGTCTGTTGGAAAAGAAAACAAAATGATCAGCTCAAAGCGAGCAGCTTTCTCTGTGAACATGGTATTACCACCAATTAGCTTGATGGTGAATAGAGCATGACTTTGCATGGCACACAAACTAAAATCCTATACAGGGTCTGTGATCCAATCTGCCAGATGAAGCTAGCTGTGAAACTGAACGAATACTTCGCATTTTTCACTATTGCCATTAGTTTCCGTCATATGATTGAGATTTCTGTCGTCTGTATTACACATTTAACATACTTTCAATGCAAGGGTAAGGACATTTGTGCATTGCAATCTGATAGGGTCAACTGATGCATACAGTTTCAGAAATCAATTTGGCATATCCTAGCTGACCCAAGTAGAAAGACACTATACTCCCCTCAACAAAGCATCAAGTTATTCCTTAAGATTCCAATTGTTTTGCCTTCCAGTAATCTACTGAGAAGCAATTTTAAAGAATTATCACTATTATGTGAAAAGAATTACTTTATGAATATCATTTGCTCTTTCGTCAGTCTGTGCCAAGGTCATTATGTTCTTGTGCAAATGATTGGCACGTTTATCATCATTTTCTTCTTAAAGAAAATCAGCAAGACTGAAATGAACAAAACAAGTTTGAATCATATGGATAATTAGTTCCTCTGCTGTTCAGTCAGGTCAAAGCTTGCTGGTCAGAGTCCTATAAACACAGGTACCTCTGCTGACTAACCCATCTGTGTTTCCCAGCATTGATAAGAATCTGCTGGGTCCAATGGGCATACCCTGAATGCGATCTTTGAATCATGAGGTGTGCGCACACTCTTGAATTTAACAAATATACATGAATATATCATCGTACTCTGTATATAGTGGCTCTTACATTGTGGCTGGTGTGGAGAAATAATTATTGAATTCAGACAGAAAGGTTGAAATTTTCCTGTTGGTAGTTAGTGTGTTATCAAGTGAGATTCATAATACCTGGTCCACCATAGCTGAGAACAATTTTACTCATGTAACCTCTGCCCTTCACCTTATTAATGATGTAACTGGGCTCTTTGGCACTTCCTTGGGCTATCATGCAGCCAGACTGGCAGAAAAGCCCACCCCATGTTGAAAACATCCACCATTCATGCTGCTGGTGTCATATTTAAAACCCAGCTGCACACCACATCAGACACTGCAAACCAAGAATGATCCCTCACACTGCTGTGCTCAAGTCTCAGCGTTTAAGCTATTTCCCAGAAGAAAAGAAAGCTCACTCTCTGCTTTAGAGACAGGGGCATGGAGGTGTTGGTGGATAGGTTGGTGGAGAGGAGAGCAGTCAGCCTGGGTACAGATTGAAGCCCATGTCAGTGCTGCGGTGTGGGTGAAGATGAAGACAGCAATGCAGGAAGAATGTCAATGATCTTCTGTACTCTGCAAGGTGTTGCGAAGTTGGGTAGAGTTTTTGTGAACTGGGAGGCAGGATGTTAGAATTTGGTGTATGTAAAATATTGTGTTTGTAAAATGCTGGGGGAAAGCATTGCGTGGTCGGTTTAAAAGATGATGTGCTTTTTTTCTTTACTTAGACATTTAAAAAAAAGTCAATGAGCACTTGAAAGTCTGCAAGTACAGAGAGCAACCAACCTGAAATATTATTATCAAAAGGCCGTATAGTTAGCAAGCCAACCAGCAATTTTTTTCTGATACCAAGACAACAAGTTTTGAATTCAGCCAATCAATTTGAACCAGGTGCTTAAATAGCAAAAACCAATTAATTTTAATTTGATCATTTTGACAACATAGGACCAAGTCTATTGTAAGAAATTGATATGTCATCAAGGGTATAAAAGAAGGAGCAGTTGGGCAAAGACAGGAGAACTAACTGCCATCTGCCAGAGATAACAGCTCTCAGCTCTCAAGAGAGAATTGTTGGCTCTTACAGGCTTCTCTAAGTCTTAGAGAAACACCAGTTTAAATAAATCAAAGGTACTAAGGGCACAACTAGTTAATATTCCTGACAGAAGAGTTGACAGAGAAGGCTCAGAACATTCTGGAGGACATGTAATCCGGCTGTAATTTTGAGAGACTAAATTCTATTTTTTAGATTTTATTTCATATTAGTGTGACTTATATTTATTGGAACAGCATACTGTTAGAATCTTGTTTTATTTTGGAATAGATAGTAGTTAAAAGGGATTTATTCAGTTTGTTAATAATTTAATTGATTTGTTCACTGTTAGAGTTAGATAAGTAAATTGTTACTTATTGATAGTGAAGTGAATGTCAGGGATTTGTTTTATTTAACCATTAGAAGTTGCTGAAAGGGAGGTTACACCACTTTTCACATTCCTTTCATGGACTATAGGGCAAGGTGTTCCTCTTTGGATATTTTATTTTTAGTTTTCAGCGGGGTGGGTCAACCTCCACTTATACCAAAGGATACGTGCCACCATCTTCATTTTGCTACCTTACACTCACAGATTCGTCACTCACTCCAACTCTGTCAATGCACACAACTCTCATTGAAGCTCATGGATTACAGCCCTCACCAAGCTCATCCTCCGAAACCACTCACCTTTCCTGCCCTCTGTGATTCCTGCTCACTCACTGGGGATACCTCACCAACCTCTCCGACCTCTGTATCATCGCCTATCATACTCAGTACCTCCCTTTGACTTATTGCAGGGAGGATTGGCCCAATTCCCAGAATGATATCTCCACAGCAACCTCACCGATATATCTTTAATCCCCTGGACTGATTGCACTTGACCTCCAGAACCGATCTTAGCCCAATCCCCAGATGGCATGGACACAGATCCCTGGACTCAGGAAGGAGCAAGCGCCTGACTGACTGTGGCCAACCTCCAGGGCCAGAATAGGACAAGTCCCTTGACTGACTGTCATGGTACAGCCTAATTGACCACAGCCCTGCCTTGACCCCGTTAAGTACTGTTCCCCTTTGAACTTTACACATGGCCATTCAGTTGAAGCACATGCAGTGTGTTTGCTGTGTAAACTGCTGGCATGCGCTGCAGATATAGCACTGATGTGGTGAGCTACCTGCATCTCCTCTGTGCCAAAAAGCAATGCAATCCATACAGCCTGGCAGCCTGTAACTGAGCACTATAAACCCTGTTTGCTAAGAAAGCAATGTGACCCAAGAACTAGCAGCCTATAAGTCAGTGCTGAAGTCAGTGAGCATGTGCTAAGCAATTTGAAGTAGACAGACACTAGCAGCCTTCAGGCAAGTGCAATGTAAATGACTGTTAAGAATTGCAAGACATTTAAATGTGTTCTTCCAAGCAAAACAAACCAATAGCAGCAAGCAAGCTGTAGGTGTCCCTGAGTTCACAAGCATGGAAGGGATGAAGTGGTGTGTGAGCTGATCTGAGAGCGTAGCGTGATAATGTAGCGAGGCTGGTGGTTCACCAACATCAATTTCTGTGGAGGAAATTTCGAGGAGGATTGTGTCGGTGGTGCATGCTGGGACATTGTTGTGAATAAACAATTGGACGATGGTTAGAACAAGCATTCACACAGGTGCAACCGCCAGCTACTTGTTCAGATTTACATCAGGAATTGATGCTGTCCAGTTTCTATTGGAAATGGAATATAAACAAGGGCAGATAGGGCTTCAATACATGAAAATAACACAGTTGCCACTCACTGGTGAGATTCTAAAGTTGCCATTAGAGGCTCAGGAAGAAAACTGCAAACACCTTTCTTGATGTTGCGGTTCTGGTTTTATCATTCTCTGTGTATTTTCTCATCTTGCTTGTCATTGCTCACGCTACACTAGAGATGGGAAAATATTGCCCCAAATCTTGTGTATTGTACACTGTACTGTCATCATTCTGCTCCTTAAGGTCAGAATTCAACAATGTCAAAAGTCCCATCCCCGAGTAGGGAGACAATCTATTTCTCAGTGTTTTAAAGAAACTTAGTAAATGCAT